TTTTTAAATTTCTGATATGTACAATTTATTACAGGGTATGGCTAAAATGTAATCTTTCATATATTTTTCGAATACAGTCCGTGAATAATTTTGCATTTGAAACTATTTAGAAAAATTATGGACAGTTACAGATACAATTTGGGCACAGTTCGAATCAATATCACATGACAATCTAATTCAATCACCTTAATTGTATGAACAATTTCTGTATAGATCTTCAAGGTCTGCTAATAGCAGCTTATTCATGTATGTAAATATTGTATTTTCAAGCCTTAAAGAAATTCGTTCTAAATAACATGAATGTTTTATCGTTTTTCTTCCATTAAAAGAGTAGAGAATAGAAAGGAAAATATTAACCTTTTCATTCCCAAATTATTTAAAAATTACCAAAGAAATATTTTCTTATATTTTTATGTATATTACGTAATATGTAAATGATTCACAGGAACATTTTAACATTTTGGAAGTGTCTAATGCTTTTTTACAACTTTTTTACTTTTATCACTGTTACATGTAATAATCTCCATTGTAATATAATTATACATAATAAAACCCACTTTTTCTTACCTTTTTTTATTTATTTTTCTTACTTCTGATTAAAAAATCCTCTTGAAATGTTTGGGAGAAATTAGAGTTTTCTAAGTTTCTATTGTATTTGTAGCAATGTTTAACACTTGAATTCCATCAAATGAAAGTGATGAAAGATCAATAATGTCTTATTTTACCAAGAAGCCTATAAATGCACATTCAAATTTGCGCCATACCACTTATATTTACAAGACTAGGAGGAACGATTACATACTCACAGATATGAAAAATTACACGTTATTAATATTTTATTTCGTAATCTAGAATATATTATCATATGGCAACAGTAAGAACGAAAGGGTTAATGAAAATGCTATCAACTATCTGGTTGATAACTAATTAAAGTGGCCTAAGTAATTAAATTTCAGAAATTAAATTTGTCTCTTATTCTGTGTTATATTGATAATATTGAAATGAAACCATGTCTCGAAAATAGCAGAGAGCAGAACTAATTAATTGCGTTAATAGTTGTATCGTCCAACAGAGTTTAATTTATATTCCAATCAAAACAATTTGAAAACCGCAAAATGAAATGGATACACATGACTCTCAAGGGAACTTCGTTAACCCAAAAATTTCGATTTGTCTGAATTTTTGCAGGTTTGTATGGGACCTCAACAGAAGTACAGACAAGTTTTGTTTTTTTAGTACTTCCTTGTTCTTCACGGTATTCTCTGTATACCTTGACAATTGTAGTAGATATAAAAAAAATTGTAATAAAAATTTAACGGCTTCTTATGCTCTATAAACCTGTGCAATAAAATTGCAAACAATTTGTTGCATGAATGTCATTACACAGTCTTTTAGAACGTAGAAACCAGTTAACGTCTCATTGTATTATCAATTTTTGTTATATCTACTACAGTCTTCAAGATATATATGGGAAATAGGTATTCACGTATTAACCGTTAAGGGATGTTTTCACCCTGAAGTACCTGAAAGTAGCAAAAAAAAATACCTGACACTTCTATCGAGGTCCCTTACAAAGTCGGAAAGTTGAAAAGAAAATCGTAATTTTCGGCTTACCGAAGTTCCCTTGGAAGAGTATGTTTATAAATCTGACTACCGTTACTTTGAAATAAAACTCCAATTTGTAATGTACAGTACGTACTGGTTAAGTGTATACACGCTATTATTTCTCTAACTACTGAAAATGTGAAAAGAGGTTTCATATGAATGTTATTTCTGTTCATTGGACAAGCTTAATAGAATATTTGAATCTTTTTAATAGATATTTACAAAGATTTTAATAACAATGTAGTTTTCTTAAATGGAAATACACATTTTTATTAGTGCCACGTTATTAAGTATTTCAAGGTAAGTTCAAGGAGACATTTAAATGTTCGAATAATGATTTGTCAATTTCGGTTAGCGTCTTTTACCCATAATCTGTGATCCATGAGACAAAAAACAATGAAATTGCCATTAATATTCATACAGTTATCCGAAAAAGTATTGTTTAAATAAACCTGTCAAATACGTCGTTGAATTCGTCTTGAAATGCTTAATACCATGACAATAATAAAAATATGTAGTTCCATTTAAAAAAATGACTTTGTTAATAAAATCTCTGTAAATAATAATAAAAAAATCAGATATTCTATTAAGTTTGCTCCATGAAATCAAACAATTTTTATAGGAAACATTTCTTCGCATTTTGAATACTTACAATTAGATGAATAATAACATGTGTACATTTAAGCAGTACGAAGAAGGCTCGAATAGCTCGTAGACTGTTACAAATGGAACAAAACGAGTTTAATGAGGAAGCAGGAGACTTGTTATGTGGGTCTGGTATAGCAGATTAGCCTGTGACTGGTGTAAGGTTACAATAACTATTACTTTTTTGTATCGAAAACTTTTTCTCAAAACCACGTTTCTTAATTTTGTGTACACGATAGATAAAAATTTATTTTATCGATCGACTTCTCGCACGGATGTCTAGTTAAGTAATAACCAACCATTGTCGATGAAGTAAAAACAGTCATCAAAAAGTTAAATTATACAAGTTTTTTACATAAATAAGTCGATACTTTTTCGTCAAAACTTCCTTTACAGTCCTAATTTTTCCAATTTTATACTTATTTCTTATTTTTTTTTAGTTCATCAACACTGTAATTACATGAAAATTAAGAAATCTTTGGTTTTTGACGCGGCTCTGCGAAGATACATAAATATAGCAATGTTAAATGAATTAATATTCAATACAAACATTTGTTTGCTATCTGAATATAGAATAAAACCTCACTAAAGTTTTTAAAAAATTCACTTTTATTATGTTAAGAAAAAATTCTTTGAAACCACCGTTATTTTAGCGCTGTAAACCAGGTTCCCCTCTTAAACCCGTCATACTATAAGTGATTATTAAATAACTATGAAGCATTTTGTTTTTAACCGCCAAAAGCATAAACCCTGTTCTAATATTCAAATTACAGAAACTCAGAATGATAACGTCAATGACCGTCAATTGAACATCGAAAAGAAAATTGCCTGATACTTATTGCAATCCTCTGAAAACCTATAAAGTGTCAAAAAAGTCGTAATATTCCGGTTAGCAAAGTTCCCTTTTTATTTTACTTTCTAAACCACCAACAGATGTACGACAAAAATTACAGAAGGGGCACGAAGCTCTGATAATTTCACGTTCGACGATACAGACCCGGGGACTTCTGAAATGCTATTATTCGAAATATTATTTCAAATAACATTTGAAATGTTATTTCAAATAGCATGCTATTTGATTTCATAATTATTTCCATGCCTATTTCAAATAACATATTATATTATTTTCTGAACATTTGAAATAATTCTTAGAAATAATTGTGAAATTGTTCTTTGAAATTATATCAGTGACTAGGTGTGACTTTGGTTCATTAAAATTTTTCTGAAGAGTAATACCCCTCTTCCATCATCCACACCAGCGGAATGATTATCTTCATCGTGATATCATTAGATGGGCCCAAGTAAAAATTTCACGGAGGAGCTTTTCGAGGTGCGGGTTCTGCTTAATGTGCTTTCCGCAAACTTTTAATAATTATAAACTTAGTTGCAAAAATCGCAAGGTCAACGATAAAATTATTGACAAACATTACATTTTCTTAAAAAATTAGGTGGTAATAGATTGTTTTACGGAGATTGTGATGGCATGGAAGAAAAAACATGTTAGCCATCAAATAAAATTAAAAATTGAGATCAAATTATACAAACTTAGGTTTCAATGTGTTGGGTAGTATCTTCTACGTATGACTGCTATGAGTGGTAACGTCGCTTGTTTTCCTTTGGTTTGTTCGATGAACTTTCCAATTTTGTGTTAAAAATTAAAAAAAAATGAAATTTTTCGCAATAAGGAAAAAAATTTTGTTTTTTTTACATATTCGTATTTTTTTCCATTTCAGTATTTTGAAGTAGTTTAAAAAAATAATCATTCAAATTAAATTAGTAAAATTGATAAAAAGTATAAAGTGCTATATGGAGCCCCAGCTAGATACGACACCAAACGCAGAATCCACCTTAAAGTCAATTGCTGTAAAGATTTCTTAAAATAAAATCTTTTTGTTGCATATTATTTTGACCGTTATTTCCTTTGCCAAATTTGAAATACCAAAATAACAAAATAATTCATGTATTTGAATCGATAATAGGTTTATTTTCAAATAACAGTATAGAAAATAAAGTTCCGAACTAAATTATTTCAAATAGTTATTGCTTATTTTCATTTGAAATAAAATTTGGACAGGTCTGCCAGGATATTCAGCCTCCAAAGTTCACCGATTGAAAGGTGTGACTTACACTTACCGCGATTTGTCATTGCGTACGCAACAACCGTGTCCCATCCACCGATTCGCAATGCGTCCCTCGTATTCGGCGTCACACCCCAACAGTGCGCAGACGCGAGCCGCGTCGACGTTTCGCGTCCACCACCGTCGACTGTCAGTTGCGTCCCGACGCCGACGACGCAGGGGTGGTCTTTCATCGGTGTCTCCGAGAACACCTACCCTTCCGAATCACGTTGCCTACGACGCCATGTGACACCGCGTATCTCTCCATTCGGCCATGGATGATCACACATACAACAATGTAATGCTCTCGAATCATTCGATGACAGTCCCTTCGACACCATAGTAGCTTGAATCAACAAAAGTTTGAAATGTTCGAGATTTTGGAATTGTTCTTAGAACTGAAATACGAAATCGTTAATTGAAGAAACTGTTCAGTCTTGATCGGGATTCGATGACTTATTCAAGGTTCAAACGATGATTTCGGGCGTAAAGGGGCGACGAGTGATGTTCGCTGGCGCGGGGATGGTTAATCGGATTTTTCTCGAGGCCTCTAACGTCGCCACGTGTTTAGGGTAGGAAAAAAGGGGGCGGATAGTGGCGCGCTATTTACGCGCATGATTACACCGGTGCGTGATGTTATTCTGTGAGACAATGCGGTGGAATGTTGGATACTGTAATCTGCTGCGATGCAAGTTCTTCATACTTCTGGTGCTTGTCGGCTGCAGCGATGGATACCTGAATATATTCATCAGCCAGTCCCAGGTCATGAAGCTTTTGGGTGAGTCTCTCTAGAATTTTTTCACCTTTGTCCACCATGTGTTGGCTATTTTATTCCTATTGTAATACAAAAAAAGAACGGCTCTAGACTGTATTAACCTTCGTACAGCGAATGTAGGGTCATTTTGACCCATCTGAAACGATTGCCGTATTCTTAAAGTTACATGTAAATGTAATATATGACTTTGAAAATATACATAAGATTTTCTACACAATTTCTTCTTAAAACCTACGTACAAAAAAAATTTTATTAGGGTCAAAGTGACCTTGCCGTTCATCTGCCGTGTCCGTCTGAGACCATCAGCTTTCCGAAGGTTAATATTGGGTCACTGGGAAAGACGATTATAACATTGTGATATGATTAGACTTCAGATTTTATGTATCTATAGCATAAATAAATGAAACTCAGTACTGCAGGATGTATAATAAAAATTAATGAAGTATTTACTTTACATAGAACCTTTCATAATGAGAATAAATTTTTCTTGAATTGCAATTTTCGTAAAGAAATTCATAATACCCTGTATTTGCTTAAATATCTCTAATCTAGATACGATAGGTATACGATTTCCAGGATTTTTGACGTTCTTCCATTACGTATTATGATTCTAACGTGGTTACTTTGTATTCCTTCACTTTTTTTTATTGCAAAAGAAACGAAGGTACATAAATATTATAAATGTATAAAATTTTTGCAATTACTCAATACGCACACAAATACTTGTGATACTAATCCCTTTTTGTATACATATTTGACATACGTCGAATAAAGTACCTGGGAATCTTGTCAGAATTCTTTCTGCGCTGTGCAATTATTATCTTATTTCTACTGAAATGTAAAAAATAAGATCTCGTCTGATTAGAATAATGACATTCCAATATAGTCGCATGCTTGTGCTTGATATTTTTTATTTTCAACTTTAGAAAATCTATCTCCTGGGATGACAAAAATTTTTAAAGTCTTATATGGCTACAGTGGGAACGTTTTGTAAATTCAAATAAAGCAATCGAATAAAAGTTCTAATGGACTTAAGAATAGGGATCGTTAAAACACGTGAACATATCAGGAAATGTGTTCTACTGTTCTATTAACATTCTAGTATGTCATTTAAAGGTTAATGACAGGCTGTGAGAAGTTCCGAAGAACGATAGAGTGACATTTAGAAAAATGTTCAATATTTTTCCTTTTAAGAACATTTGTGAATAACTTTTCCCGATAATACGTAAAATTAGTATTTTTAAAAATTTCTTAACAAACTTTTAATCTGAATAAAACTGAGGAAAACTGAACATTCTACCTACACTTTTGCTGTCACGAATTTATCACAGTTCATGAAAAGTAATTTGACAATTGCAGGATTTTTAAATGGATTTTCCTACGAATTATAAGAAAAAGAAATAATCGTTATGGTACAAAAGATTTGTAATATACTTATAGTAAATATATTATCTCTTTAAAAACGCAGATAAACGTTATATCTGAGATATTCAAATAGATATTCAAATATTCAAGAAATGTTTCAACATTATAAAAAACAGCATAAGACAATTCAGATATCCAGAAAAATTCGGGAACTGTAATTAGACGAGTAAGTTATTTTTTAAAAGACTAAAACTTCTCTAATTGTGACTTTTAATTAAATAAAAGAATAAAGGAACGTTTCAGTCTCGTTGAGCAACTATCCCTGGAGGTTGTTCTTAAGGGAAATTAGCGTCTCTGTTATCCGTTTCTTGTTCTCCTCGAACTTGAAAATACACAAGAACTGAGTGAAACCCTCAATGAGAGCTTCCGTTCGTGTCGGTCGTTAACAGGACTCATTACAGGTGTAATACGGTCGGAGGGATTAACTACCATAGGAAGGGGAAAAATATAGAGAAAAGGTACAAGGTGTCCATTTAGTAATATCTATCATCTATCATGCAGGTGATATTCGTAGATAAACTCAAAGGAAAAATCAACATCAATATGTAAAACATGTGCAAGTAGATGCTACTCTTAGAATAATCTAACAAACAATCATGTTAAGACTTCACGTGTTTTGGATTCATGGGCATGCAACTGTTTTTTATAAAAGCTGGCGTTCATTCGCTAAAAAGGTGGTATTATATATATAAAAAAACTTTTTAACATTCAACTTTAGGAACTATTGGATCATGTAGTAGAGTCTCTAAAAAGTATCCCTGAATTTTTTTAGATTTTTTGGAAGTCTGTGAGATAAAAAAAAGGCCTGGACATAAAAGGGACGGGGATAATGGAAGCAGTAAAAATAACAGGGGTTATGGAGGGTTAAAGATACTAAAAAAAGAATTACTGACCGCTGATGAGGACAATATCACGAATTTGAGACAGGTTCAAGAACACAGGCGATAATCTTGAAGCTATGAGGCACCATATGTGTTTTCACTTCTTATTGCAGGACGCAGGGTGCACCACCTGCGGTGAAGCCAAGGTCTCTTTGTTCCGAGAACATGAAAGCACAACAAATTGCCTCGAGTCTTTCGATAGTTTGTATTAAACTGCACTACTGTTAATTTATTATCTCGTAGTTCTAAGCACTCTATTAATTACGATAATAATAATAAGAATAATGTGTCATGAATAATATATTACAGCAAGATATTAATTAGGAAAGAATTTCAGGTCAGCTTTATTAACTGTTACATTCCCAAATTACTTAACAATTATGAAAAAATGTTCTTTTTGCATTTTTGTCTATTTTATATGACATATAAGTGATTCAAAAAACATTTTTAACATTTCGAAAGTATGTAGTACTATTTTTCATTCGTTACCATTTGGTACTTTTTTTTATTCCTATCACAGTTATGTATAATAATTGACATTACAAAGTTTTTATACATACTAAAACCCATTTTTCTTACCTTTGATCACTAAATCCTCTTAAAATACGTTGAAAGAAATTAGAGTATCACAATATCTTACAAAAAAATGCAACACTTGAATTCCAGCAAATGAAAGAAAGAAAACCTAACATTATTTTATTTTATCGAGAAAGTTTTAAAAGCATATGAAAATTTGTGTCATGCCACCTGTATAAAACCAGACCTTATTATCTACTCACAAATATAAAAAAATGCATGATACTAATCTTCTATTCTCCAATTTAAAATACATTGCCATATGGCTACAGTGGGAACGAAAGGGTTAACTAGGATTCTTTCGAAATCGCTTCGCATTCTAGAGAACTGAATGAAAATTACTGCATTAGTTATATTCTCGTATGGCACGCCACTATTCGTTTCACTGCTCATACTTATTACACTGAATTTTATTTTTACATTGACAATATTTTTTATTATTGTTAGTCACGTTAGAATTGAACACTTACACGAGATGTCTCAGGTTGGATAGTACAAGCGAGAAGGAGGTGATTCTATAAGAATAAAGATATCTCGAAAAGAGAATAAAATTTGTTCATGGTATGCTTCGTTTTCGAGATATTTGAACTTAAAAATTTGTCGGATACACGGGCAATAGAATGAAGACTTGGCTAACGCGTCTGTTCATTGCAGTCCGTTTCTACGTATGGCCAGTGCAAATACACTCCTTTTAGATAAACGTTGAAACCAAATTTTCTTGAAAACGAAACAAATTCTTTTTTATTTACTTTTTCTTAGAGAATCACCTCCTGCCCGAATGTACTTCCCGACCAGACACCTTGCATAGTACTCATAATTTATTCAACTTAATTACAAGTATGATGAGATATAACAAAATTATTTTAGATGTATTATTCGTATAAAATCAAACTGAAAATCTGAAACAGGTTATTTTCTTTCAAAACAGTTTCTTGGAATATCAAAAATATTTATTCTGTGCTCGGGAGTTTGAATATTATCTTTCTATGTCTGACCATAGCTCGCCATCTCTACTTGCGTTCTCGTTTCAGTTCAGTATTAGTGATGCAGTTCGAAGAATACAGCAGGTGTTTAGAAAGTAATAATTTTATTTCATTTAGAAAAGATTAGATTGATAATTTTGCAAAATGAAATATTATAACAAGTTCTTACATATGAAATCTTTATCATAATTCTGATTAACATTTTATATATGAATTTTTGGTCTCAAAACTTTATTTGAACGATTGTAATAGCATGAGTATACCTTCCTAATCGCGTTCTAATAATACTTATCCTGTTATCAATTCGACAGAAATAAAAATTGTGTACGTCGTACTTAAACACAAAGTTTCGGATACTATGAGGATCATTTTTAAATTAAGAATCGTTTTGTCATAAACTGAGAAGAACTTATTCTAACTCAAAGTCGTTACTTTTACAATGAAAATATATTTTAAACTATTTTTCCACATAGTCACCGACTAGTTCAAAGAACAAGCGGCAGAGTTCATCAACGAAGGGATAGTCAAGCTCGTGTTCCTATTTTTAGTAAATTTTTCAAAACTGCAGCTGCACCCGGCTTGCACCAAAGTATACGAAAAACTATCCCTTTTTGTTAACTATGCACGAGACAGAACACAATTTCTTGATTTATTCTTGCTTTATTAATCAAATATGAAAAAAGTATGTTAACAATTTTTGCAGACATAAAAAAATAACATCATTCTTGAGCCTGTTCGTCATCATTGTCTGTGGAAATATTATCATCCCCAGTCAACACATATTTGAGAGCCTTATAAATAGGCTGTTTATTAGGTGGGACATAGTTAATGGCTAACTGCATTACGTCGTCGTATTTTGCCTTTTTCAGTGGCAAAGAAGCAGTATTCCTGGGGCTCACTTAATAGAATGTACTCAACGTCTCTCATTACAGAAAATTATTCAAAAACAGGAATATCAGTTAATCTGCTGTCACAATGAAATCTTGCATCTCTTTATCTCTGTATTCCAAATCACTTCTCTGAAATGACTGTTATAATGTTCACTAAAGTTAAGTGTCACATTTTGATTAACAACCATAACATTAAAATTATATTTTGATGCCTGTTTAATACATTCGAAGTAATCTACAGTAATTTT